TTAAATTATAAAAACTATTATTATAAATTTAAAGACATCAGATTGTAGGATACTGTTATATAAGTATTTTTAAGTGTTATTGTATTGTACAAATAATATCATCATACATTCGGTCATATCGTCAAATATATATTTTTCGACATGGTCAAGCAATAGTCGATGTCAAATTGACTTACTCCACAGTTTTAGTCATTCGTTCGGAATGGTATAATCCAACCATTTTATGATGGTTGTCAGATGTCAATAATACATAGAAATATCGACTATATTTAACATAGTTGGATAATATAAAATTTTATTTTACATTTGATTCAATTTTGTGATAAATAACAATAAATATAATAAAATAATATACTTAGAAGAGAAAAGAAATAGTTCTGCTTCCGCCGCTATAGTTTTAACACCATTTAACTGAACATTTAGTCATTTTTGGGAGATGTTTTGTTGACAAGTAAGTGCTTGAGACTGACGAAAAAATAAACGACCAAGGCTAGAATTTCCTGGTTACTGACAAGACTGGTATAGGTAAGTTCGCTTATATGTCGAGTCCAGTGGTTAATTCGTTCAAGTAATTGGGTTTAATTTAATTACAAACGTTACTAAATTAAACGAATATTTTTAATATAAAATGCATTTATTCTCTTAAAGGAGTACACCCCAAATCCATATCTGAATCAGTTTCTGAATCGCTAGAACAATCTTGTAAATTTATTATAAACTCTTGTTCGCAAATATTATCAAATCGGACGTCCCGCTCCCAATATTCTTCCATTAGTTTTCTGCATTTGATTACCACCTTCTTCCAGTCTTCTGCAGATACATTGTCGACCGCACTTTTTAATAACTGCAACCTTTTATTTGCCGTGAAAGGCGGTGTTGTGTTGTATCTGGCAGCGTAACCTTAAAAGAAAACATATTTTTAATAAGATTAATTAAACAGTAGTTAATAATTAAAGTACCTATCTAACTTATATTCAAGCAAACAAACCTTTGACTTGCCCAGATAAGCTCGATCGGATTATATTGGCAGTGGTACGGGGGTAGTCTTATGACGGTATGACCCTTTTCGTGGGCTATATCATCTAAGACATACGTTGGAGTACTAGGTTTGTACAGACCAACGAGTCTTAATAATTGATTGTTTAAGCATAGTTTCATTGGCCTCTATTCCTATGTATAGTTCATAATATTACATATTAGTCTATGGTCTATGTAGATAATCTTAAAAATTAAAACTGGTTATAACTTTTATCTCGCAAGTTCTAAAAATCTAAAAATTTAAAAGGGGTTTGTCTATCCTACTATCTACCAATTAAAACCAAAAATATACCAAAACACGAAATTTTATTAGCGGTACGAAACTCCCATACAAGTCTGCCATTCCCCTTTGGAAACGATTGTTACGTCAAAACACATCTCTTGTTGACATTTATACGTGTGAATTGACTATGATTGATCGTGATTGTAAGGAAGCAAACGACATTTAGGGATTAATGGATGGTTGGAAAATTGAAGAACTCGATAAAAGAAGGAATCCGATAAATATTGTCGTCTAATAAAAAGTGGAGGATCACCGCATTCAATATGCAAGGCGACGAATTCATGGCGCCTATAATTAATCTTAAAGACTTGTGTTGAATGATATCTAATATTTTTAATCCTTTTTATTAGCAGGTTCAAGAAGAAATGAGGCATAATCTAATTGACTTCTTATAATCGCATTATAAATTAATTTTAAAGAATATAGATGAGCTTCTCACCATAAAGCTCTTAGAATGTTTATATTTTTTTAGCATTTTTTTGGGTATAAATGATATGAGGCATGCCGGATAATTTATTATCAAGAATTACACCAAGGAATTTAACTTTCTGGATATTTACGAGTGGATAATCAAGAAGGCGAACCTGGATTTCAGGTAAAACTCTTTTGCGCGAAAAAATACTGTATTATTTTTATTTGGGGAAAGTTCTAGTCTATGATTATCTAACCAAGAGGCCATGGAGAGGAGATCTTGTTCTACCGCATTAGCACAGGATTCTATATATTTATCATTAGCATAAACTAAGATATCATCAGCGTATTGCAAAATTCTACACTTTGAAATAGACTGGTCTAAATCTGACGTATAAATATTGTATATTAAAGGACTTAAAACAGAGCCTTGAGGAAGGCCTTTGAAAATCTTTCGAGTATATTTTAGACCATCATCAATTGTAATATGAATATATCGATATATATCGATGTTCATATCAAACAAGATGGCGGCACTAATTAGATCGGCATGCCAATAAAGTATGACATTGACCGGTACTTTCTGTACTATGTACTACTAAGAAATTCAGGACTTCATAGGCGTGATTTTACTGACAGCTGTCGCTGAGATCAAGCTATCTTTTATGAACCATAGTGTCACCAACAGGTTTAATCATGGAGGTTAGAGAACAGGAGAACGATCGCTGCGTACTAAAGTATAGCCCGCCTGTCCTTGGAAATTTGTAGAATTTATAGCGGCACTGACGTCGTTGAGTAGTGGCTGTGAAGTTAGCTGTTTACGAGTACAAGTAGATAAAGTTAGTTATATAATGTACAAATTTTCTTCGCGGCATTAGTGAGAAAATTTTCATGCTCCGTAATTTTTAAATTTTTGACAAAAAGAAACATTAAAAATAGAGAAATATTTTACTGTCCGTGGATGTGCAAGTGGTTTTTAGCATCTGATCGGAAAAATAGACTGAAAATGACTTTTATTGAGCGAACTTAGCGATCGCAGCGCCTCACTTATGGTGTCCATATTTCTGGGGCACTATTTTCTACGGCGATCGTTCTCCTGATCTCTAACCTCCATGGGATTAATATTATATCTAAGAAAAAGTTTTAATATTAATAGCTGCTTGTCATTGATTCGATGTTTTATGAAAATCGATCATCGATACATCAAGTGTATCAATAATTTTCCAAAACATCGGATCGTTTCGATGCATCGATGCATATCGAATATTCCTACGCTCAAGTACGTATTAGTATTACATAGTATCTCGAATCTCGATGGTGGAGTATTGTTCCCCAAAATATAACAGCATCCAAAGATGTGCCCAAATACTATTAACATTCTTTGTGTCTACATATTCCGAATCGTCTTTTTAAAAAATGAAAAACGTGTACAGAAACAAACTTACGGATTCTCATCTGGATGATGTAATAAGGATAACATGTAGCGACAAGTCATCTTGAAAAAGTTTTAAAAAGTGTTCATTGTATCAAAAATCGCATTAAAATATGAGTATAATCATCTTTATTAAACCTTATTTTTTCATTAATAAAGTAAATGAATAAATCGTTAACTTGTAATTACGTTTTACGTTCTAAATAATTTTTGCTTGCGGCCCTCGACACCGTGACTGAGACGAGTTTGTGGTCCCTATAAAAAAGGTTGAGTACTTATGACTGTTCTGGAAGTTTAAGAAATTTTGTGATTTCAGTTCGGGGTTTGTTATTCAAAAAGTTATAAGCCGAAAATTCTTAATTCAACTAGGATAATAAATAGCGTTTTCGAAAATTATAAATGGAGGTTGAGGGGCCCCGGGGCTAGCCCCACCTAGCCCTTAGGTAACTACGCCACTAGATGTTAATTTTCTAAATTCTTTAATTGAAGCTTCAAACTTCTATTTTTGATAGCATATTAAGATAGCAATTTAAAAATATTAAAGCAATTTATATAGAAAACATTTTTATAAAATCGTCCTTAAAATTAATTTAAAAAATTATTGGTCATGCTGTCTGAAGTTACTTCAAATCAAGCAAGAATCATATCCCTACTCCTTGCTCGTCAATTCTTCGATTGGCACCAATGAACTAATTGTGCAGTACAGTCGTATTGTAACCATGTGCTGCCAGCTTAGTAGTTTTTTACTTTATGGGATGGTAATGATCCCCTCTTTAGTTGCAGATAGTGGCCAGTCGCTTTTTAGTTGTAAAATTGATCTAAAATGTGGCAGCGCTGACTACAAATTGAAGATATAGACTTGTACGAAACTAATATAGAACGGGGAATTTCTTACTTATGTAACAAAATACAATTATAGACACATTAACATAAATTAACATTTCTATTCGTCGCGATGCCCAGAAAGGGAATGTCATTCTTAGATGAAGAGGTTTAATAAGACAGTAACCTCTGTAAACCGTCAAAAGCCTGCTTTCGGTGATTATGCCAGCTTACATACCTACATTCCACTAACATAAAGTCTAAAACTACTTGTGCTTTAAACGAAGTTTCAGGGTAGACACTGAATTGAGGATTTCCTTTCATAATTCAGTTTTTCAATGTTAGTGGGTATTATATTTATCGTTTAAATCGTAATCGTATTATTGTTTAAATATTTAAAAAAATATTTCGTATTTAATGTTAGTGTTAAACTAAATATTTTAATATACCTTAAAATTAAAATTATTCAAAATTGATTAGGTATCTTTAATAATTCAATTATGTTTGTGTGATAAATACTTCAATCAATAGGTGAATATTTTTGGTGGTGATTTTGGAAGTTGTAGTTGGTGGGTAACTGCTCGAACAGCTGGCAGCACTACTATCACATGTCAACCGTACACTGTCAGTGTCAGTAATCCTGTCATGCTTAGGTTGTAGCCTTGGAATTAAATGTCGCGGGAAAAACGATCGATATTTTAACAGTGTTGAGTTTCCTGCGTGACGGTAGTGTTAGGATTGTTAATTCTAGTTCACTTGCGTTGTAATAAAATAATGATAAATTAAATTTATAAAAAAGAAACATCAATTTCATAATGGTATTTTATCGATGTATCTATTTTACCTTTTTTCCTCACCGTGTCCGCTAAATTTGTATGGAAACATCATAACAATGAAGAACTACCCTTGGTTTTGGAAGAAGTTCACGAAAAATGCCCAAATATTACTAGAATTTATGCCTTGTCAGAACCGTCTGTCCAAAATGTACCGCTTTATGTGATTGAATTTACAGAAATGCCTGGATTCCATCAACCCTGTGAGTTAGTCGAAATATTTTTTTAACACGAACTTATAAATATAAAAAGATTTTTTTTATAATTTGCACACATGTATCACTTCGTATTATTAATATATTACTTTGGAATAAATTATTACTTAAATGTACAAATTATTATTTGTTTATTTCATATGTGTATCGCGTTAATTTGTTGTATAGGTAATCATATATTTTCGGCTATTTTGCCTTTTATTTGTCTAAGATTTATTAATATATTGCTACTTACAATAATAATCACTCATTAATTACGATTTGACAAAGATTCAGAGATGTTTTGATAGTAGTATAGTAGAATTTAAAGCTGAAAATATTGCAGATAAACCTGAAGTAAAATATGTAGGAAATATTCATGGTAATGAAGTTCTTGGGCGAGAGTTACTTCTAGGATTAGCAGATTATTTGTGCGAGCAATATTTAAATAATGATCCCAATATCAGAGCACTTATTCACAAAACTAGAATACATCTTTTACCATCAATGAATCCAGATGGCTGGCAATTATCTACAAGTTTTGTAAGTAAAAATAATTATTTGTACTAAATAAATTATATCATGGCATTTCACATTTGTATGCCTGCATTTTGTAAGCCTATTAAGTCTACTGCAGAACATAGGCATTCTCCATGATTGCCTCATAGGGCTGGTAATTTGTCATAGTTGCCAAACTTGGAAAGTGGATTGACAATTGCAGGTTTTTATTTTTATTCAGCTGTTATCAGGAGCATGTATGTTATGCATTTCCTAGTTCAGTTTCCCTCTGTCTTCTCTACACTTCTTATGATAGAATTTAGACTGTGTAACCCATATTATCCCTTGGCTGTGGTTTCCCTTCAAAACATATTAAGCTTTGCCTTTCGCTATTGAATAATATTTTTTCAAGACACCTTTTTATATTCTGTAGGGAGGTCAAGACTATCTCATTGGACGCAGCAACAATCATTCAGTGGACTTAAACAGGAATTTCCCTGACTTGGATGCTATAACATTTGAGTATGAACGTTTAGGTATCAATCATAATAACCATTTGCTGAAAGATGTTACTCGCCTTGCTGCACCGGTAAGTTGTTATCAAACTGTTCTTTAAATCTCATTAACAGATTCTCATAAATTGCAATTCAGGGCTTACTGCATCCATCATATTCCATTTGAATTTTTGTTAGTCCACCTTACATAGGCTATGTTTTTTAGATTGTTAAAATAAGATGTGTCTTATCTTAGACTATTAGTTTATATTTTCTATCCTTTAAAATTATCTGTCTGCTGTTATATATACGCGATAAATTCCGTAAAAACTAGTATTATTTCAATGTCTGCTGTTCTCTAAAATGTGTATAGCTTAAGCACTGGTCCAAAATCAACTTTGAACAGATTGGATTTTTTTTAAATCAAAACAATTATAACCAACTTTTTATTTTATCTAATTATTGTGTATGCCTTAATTTATGAAAAATATACTAATCCTGCTTTAAAATAATTTTACAACAATTTATAAATAAATTTGTGAACACATGATTTAGTTCTTAATAATGCAGTTTGTCTCAAAAAGTACTGAAATTGAACATCAATGCAACTAAAACATATTATAGATCTACTTAGGGGTTGGGATAACAAAGTTAAGAACTAGTAAATTTTGTTTATTTTTACTAAGTGTAATGTAGTATAAGCTTGAATAAAAATGCTTCCATACATTTAGAATTAAAAATTTATCATATTAAATTAAAATCTGAATTTACTTAATATGAAAAAGTTTTAATTAGATTAAATAGAATAATATGTTTTTTAATTAATATTATGCAAATACATTAATCAAATATGAACCTACTGTATGTTTCTTATATGTATTTATGCAGAGTTACCTTAATATCTTTATATATGGGTAAAAGTAAGACTGATATCATTTAGAATACTTCCTCATCAGTCCATAGCAGTTGACAGCTAGGAGGTTCTCAACTGTTTTTTTTTTAAATATATTTTTTTGTTAATAATGGACTCTTTATCTCCATCTGGCGCAAGGGCAAAGATGAGGTCCACGATGGAGCAAGTTTGCCCAAAAACCTGTTAACACACACCTTGAAAAGATTCAGGTTATAGGCAATCGGAAAAACACACCTGCAGGGCATTTCACTCCTTGGCTGTGTGCTTGGAATGATATCTTCATCAATTGTGAAATGATTTTAGGAGTCTTTATAAATTAGATTATTCTTCAGGGGTGTTCACAAAATTGGGTTGGAAAATGGTGGATAAAATTTATAATTTAGGAGACACTGAGATTAAAACATTACCTCAAAACTTGTGATATTTCTTAGTCTACTCAAAAGGATAAAAGGCATAAAAGAGATTCATATAACAGTTTCTGAAGTTATTTCTCTATATACTCTTAACACCCACTTGTAAAGCCGTTCCATGGAAATGATTTTACTCTTTTTATTTTGTGAAGTAGGGTTTTACTTTCAATAAAAAGTTTAATTTTTTACCGACGTCAAAAAAGGAAGAGGTTCTCAATTTGACTGTATTTTTTATGTGTTCTTTTGTTTTTTTTGTTCCTCAGAACTTTTTTCTAAGTGAACCGATTTTGTTGATTCTTTTCTTATTTGAATGTTGGCGCTTCTCATATGGTCCCATATAAATTTGATCAGACTAGTAGTTTTTGAGTTATCCTCAATGATGTGTATTTAATTGCCTTCGACTACATTGATGATGATCTCATTTTATTTCCATGTAATGAAGTCAGTTGTACAAAATATTTAATTTTACCACCTGTTGTATTTAAGTTACACGATATCTTCGTCAATTGTGAACTGATTTTGATGACTCTTTTTTCATTAAATAGTTTAGAACTGGTCACATATAAATTTGGAGGACAAATTTCATCGGTACGGGTGTAAAATTCGTAAAAAAATTTAATTTAACTATATACACGACATTGAGATTGTGATATTTCTTAGTCCACACGAAACAGTAAAAAAATACTTGCTGGCGGAGCCATAGAAAAGATCCGTCGCTGGGATCAGTAAGGCTGGTGCTTCCGAGATTTTGATTTTTCTGGCCCGGCGCTTGTGAGGTCACAGAAGTGTGCGAAAGCGTTTCCATAGCCCTGCCAATAAGGCGGCGAAGGTGGAACACCGATCCGGTCTGCCATAAGGCGGGTATGCGTAGGTATTTCCCCGTGTAAAAATGCCCGAGATAAATTTCACAACACCCTAGTAACCCGGGTTCGATCTTAAGCAGTGCAATTTGAAGTGCTTATTTACCGCTTGCTCGGCGGTGAAGTAAAAATATTGCGGCATCTGAAGTCCGCAACAATCTCTCAGAAATGAGAGGAGACATATGCAGTGGGACACAGGTGAGGAACAGCATATGCAGCCTGTATCTTCACTTTTTTCTACTGCTATTGGAGCGACCCATGTTCATTTGTGGATCATTAACAGAGTGATATTTAGGTTGATTATATTTTTAATAGACAAGCTAAGACTCCGCCTGTAATCAACTTCTAGCATAGAAAGCTAAAGATGCGTTGTCACCCCTAATATCTGAAGACTTAGGCTTCGACGTCGATCTAATTGGCTATCGATTGTACGAGTAACCGTTGCGATTTCATCGTGCGATGAAAAAGATCGCACAATGGGCATCCAGCGATGAACTTCCAGCGATGGGCATCACGCGATGCCGCCACACCGTCACCATTGTTAAAATGGCGTAACGGCGCTGTTTATAGAGATGCACAGTTTTTACTGTCGGGTAATATTGCTTAGAAAATTGCAAATGGCATTGAGAAAAGAAGACGTAGACACATACTTTCACTGAGGTCTCCACTCGTCTATAACTACTCTCACCGGTTGCGCCCTTCACCTCTTGCGTTGCCGCGCCCGCGCGATGACGCGTTACACTCAAAAGAGATTTGTAGCTTTGATTTCGCGATCGTACAATCAAACCCATCGTACGATCGTTATGTGCTCACTCGATGACTTACAGGCTTCAATTAGACACTAGAGAAATGTGTATGTTTAATCTCGTCGTGCGACGAAATCGCATCGTAAGCCTGTTATTACAATCGTAGATTAATGTAGTTTCTCACCGTTTAAAACTAAACACAAAAGGAAAGGAGGCCCTACAGTTATTACAGCTTGATGATGATGATAAATTTGGCGCTTATTTGTAGTTGGAGCCAGAAACACGCGCGGTCATGCGCTGGATAATGTCAATACCGTTCGTGCTGAGCGCGGCAATGCACGGCGGGGATCTAGTCGCCAACTATCCGTATGACGAAAGCAAAAGCGGTGCTCTAGCGTCCGAATATTCGGCTAGCCCTGATGATGACACTTTCAGGTAATAAATTAAAAAAATTGCGTAAGTTAATACCATAGAATACTATAATACATACATAATAGAACGGGGGAGTGGGCGGAGCCCGTGTAGCCACTAAAATGCCACTAACACGTCAATCCACACGTATAAATGTCAACACGAGATGTGTTTTGACGTTACAATCGTTTCCAAATTTCGCATGCAAATTATTTAGAAAATGCCAAAAAAAATGTATTATAGTATTCTATGGTTAGTACTGTATAAAGAGAAAATGTTATAAGAATTTTTTTCATCACCCTCACCCATTAAATTTTGTTATTCATAGTAATTTAATATTATAAAAATGTTAAAATCAATGAAGAATATTTATGTTGTTCAAAGTATCCTAGGAGGCATTCAAAAAACTATTATTTCTTTGAGTTTGAATGAATCCACATGGCGATAATGTTATAACATTTATTGAGCTGCTTATCATATGACATGCATATTACAAATATTTAGACGTTTGTATGTGACAGACTTTGTACATGGTCCGATTTTCGTAAACAAAAACGCTTTCTCTTGCATTAAGAACTAGAGCTGATGTCAACATTTGTGTAAAAAGCTACATTTTTTGTTGTTTGGTTTTAATCCTACATTTAATCTTATCAAGCATATTATGTGTGACGGGTGTAAATGATTTTCATAGGATTGTTATTGAATTTTTTCAAATAATAATAAAATAATTTATTTGACTCTCAGTTTGATAAATTACACTTATGTTTTATATCAATTTTAAATTAAAAAGTTACATTTCAAAGAAGTTAGCGTAAACGGCCATACTAATATAAATAGCTGCCGTCAGCGTCTTCCACCCTGAGTAGTACAAAACAAATAAAAAAGCGTATCATTTTGCTATATAATACACAAAATATGTTAAGATAATTGAGGGAAATGAAGAGAAAATTTTCTAATTACCACAAACTTGTGTTGCGTGAGTGCGTGCGCGCGTGCGTGTGTGCGTACGTACATGCGTGCATTTCCAAGTAATTAAGGTAGGTATAGCAACTAATTTAGAATTTTGTCCTTGCATTTATTAAGGGACAAATGTTAAGGGATAAATATTGTTTACTTTATTTGCGACAATATATAATTTAACTGCTGGTGACGTAATATTGACGACGAGCTAAAGCAGTTCTATGAGGTCATTTTACAAATTCTATTTTTGTTACGTTTTAAATTAGGTTTAAAATATGTCATTAAAAGATATATAGGTAATTTTTTATACTTAAAATCAAAATATAGGCAAGTCAAAATATTTACGTATTACTAAGTTTAATCATTTATATATGGTTTCAAATTTTGAGCAGGTAAACGAAGATTTAATTGGTAAAAAATAAATATATTTAAACTTAATCTAAGTAAGTAAAACTTTTCTCTTAGTCCCCGAGTCCTGATTTATTATAGTAGGCCGCGATGTTTTATTAATATTTTTTGATTTGTTCAAGATTTAATGTGATTTTATTATTAAAAAATTCTGACTTTTTTACAAACTTAAAAAAAAATTTGACGCAAATATTTGGGAACCTACTATTATTATTTACAGTCAAATCTTTTAGCCACATTAAAAATCACATTTCTTAAAGAACTGTTAGGTAATTCCTTGAGTATTTTGTCCTATATGAAATTAGGAGAAACAAATGTGACATTTTGCTCATAAAGTTTATACCTTTTTCTCTTTTATTTTCATTACATTTTCTTTTCTCTTTTTTTTCACATTCATAATTTATCATATTTGTTAACTGATGTATTATTTGTGTTTTAATATTTAACAATAAATTAATAAAGCTAGGTGAGCATAAACGTGTTAAAATGAATTAATATCAGTTATAATTTATAACGCACAAATTATAAATTACGGTTCACCATGTAAAGGTCGATCTCCCAGTGAATGTCATGGCATTGAAGAGTTTTATCGATTGTTATCGCCATTAGCATAAATGAGATTGTTGGCGACACTCGTAGATTTATGTTTCGTGTGAGTGCCCTAAAAGATCACAGATAAAATTGTGAAGTAATAAACACAAACTGACAGTGGCATTCTTCTGAAGTGATCAATACATTTGCCAAAAGTGACTTAAAGGCATACATGAATGAATTTATAAGGGCTATATAATGCTGAACTTATTTATTATATGTAATTTTTTGCCTTAATACTACTAGCAATATTATTGGTTTGTTGTCATACAATAATTTTTGTATCAAAACATTTTGACGATTAGCATATACCTATGTTGATACTAAAACTTTTGTGGATGGAACTGGTATACATGATGTTTCAGGTTTTCAAATACTGCCCCATCCACACAATTCCACAAAGCCACATTTTGCCGCAATCATTGAAGCCCGTGTTCATTTAAAACATTACATAACGCTCGTTTGACCTAGTAAGCCGTGTTTTGCATTCCAGTCGGCGTCAATATGTGACGAAAAGTTATGTGATGGTAGGTCTAGCTTAGCGCATAATACTTTTTTTCGTCCGTTATACTTAAAAAATACAAAACATCTAAAAATATAAAACTAATAAATATTAAATTATATGAATTATTGAATATTATGGTAAAAACTTCTGTCTATAAGTTACATATAAGAGATTTTAGAATAGAATTTTTTTAAGGTTGTATTACAGATCGTATGTAAATTCACTTAAGGCATCTCTGTATTTCTAGACACTACAAATTTATTTACATAAATGAATATTTCTTGGTAATAACTTTCAAGTTATAAAATATTCATGGACACGGCTAGTTATAAGTAAGCACAGGATATCACAAAAATAAATTAGGTATCATCATCACGATGTGACACCAAACATCCTCTCTGCAACATCACCCTTTTTGTATTAAAATAACAACGCGAACAGAATCATGGACAGTCACCAGATTTCGGAGTGTGGATGTTGTTAAGCTAATTATAATTAAAAAGTATTATTTAATCTTAAAAAGTATTATTTAATCTTAAGACCAAAGTAATATAATGTAGTTTGAATGTAAATTGTAATTAAATTAAATAAAATTAAAATGTAAATTGAATGTAATTTAATATGAAATAATTTTATTTTTTAATTATGATCAGAAATAAACAAAATTACGTTTATACTGTACATACTTATAAAGAGCCGTGAAGTGGCAGCTAAGGAGAATCCACTACTCTATAATGTAAAAGATGGCAGAGGTAAATGAATACGGAAACAGTCAGGGAGCATCTTCGTGAATACAACTCAAAAATGTTAGAATATTGCGGTTGCCTAACCGCATAAAAAGCGTGGCAATTTTGAAAAATATCCATGGAAACATGGGCTTTAATGATGGCAGAAAAATGTGGATTTTTGGAATTGTGGTGGATAGGACAGTATTTGAAAACCTGAAACATCATCTATACCAGTTTGATCTACAAACATTTTAGAATCATCATGGGTATATTCTAATTGTCAAAATGTTTTGATACAAAATGATTGTGTGACAAAAAAAGGGGGCCTAAAAAAACTAAGGGCCGCGGGTTCGAGTCCCGCACAGAACAAGTATTTGTATGGCCTACAAGTAATTGTTCCGGGTCTGGATGTTTGTCCTTGTAAAATTTATGTTTGTAAACTCCACGATACAGGAGAAAATCCTAGTGCGGAGGTATCGTTTAAAAGATATAAAAAATATCTTTCTTTGAAGAATCTATAGTCTGTTCAGCAGTGGACTATTGTAAGCTGTAATAATGATACTTAATGGCCATTAACATTATATGATAATATTCATAGATGCCATGCGTTATAGTTTATACCATAAATATTTTAAGGCTCTCGTTTTATTTAGGGAGCTGGCTATGACATACGCGACAGCGCACGCCGACATGGCGTCCGCAAGCCGACCGGGCTGTCACATCAACAGCCATGACGACACCGCGTCCTATAACTTCGGCAAGCAGGGTGGAGTCACCAACGGGGCTGCTTGGTATAGCCTCAAGGGAGGTTAGTATTTTTTATTTATTACTATAACATTGAGATCGTGGACATATGCCATCTCCCTATTAATTATTTGAGAAATTAGTTATTCGTTTTATTTTCTAATTTTATTAGATAATTGAAAAACATTCAAATTTAAGAAAACATAAAAGATTGTAAAGAGTTTGTTGATAAAATATAAAAGTCCTAAGAAATATTTAAAACAAAATCGTATAACGGCATAAGATTAAAATTTGAAATTCCATTACTGCATCTAGGAAGTTGTAAGCCCTCGTTATGAAAACCAAACACATCTCGAGTTATCCGTGTACAAAGCATGTAGCATTAAGGCAAATGGCAATTTAACAATGCCAATACTGTACTAACAGCTATTGTTTTCCTATACTAACCAGGCAATTGGTAAAAGGAAAAAGATCGACTTGGTAACCCAAACTGACATTTAATTTAAACTTGTTAACCATGAGTGAACCGGTGTCAGTAGGAAATAACGTCGAATATAATAGCTCTGACCAATTTCCTTCAAACATGCTTTAAAATACATTTTGATATCAAAATAAATAACTTATTATTGAAACAAAATACTTTACAAGCATAGAAAATTATATAATCTTCGATTGCAGCTTGCAATAATTTAGGAAATGAGTTTGGAAAGTGGCGTTCGCGACCAGTAAATTATGAAAGACGTGGGACGCAAAAAATGCTAATGTATTGTGTACAATGTTTTAAATTTAAAAGGGAATATGTTTAATAAGATATATTTCATTGTTTAATACCTAGGAACACTTTTCTCATTTGTTTTAAACGGTATGTCACCATTGCAGTAAGATTTCTTAGTCGTTATGCATTTAAATGCGCTAGAAATTCTTATCGCATTCGATAACTTCAAGTGAACTAATGGCTATTAATATAAATTACTATCGGCTTAATTAATTATTTATAGGGTTTTTGTATGTAAATCTGGTTAAATCCCAATCAGATCTATCGCATATTTTGTTGGGTCTAACGTTGCTGCTATACCTATGATGTACACATATGATATCTTGTCTTGACAACTTTACTAATAAATTAATGCTTACAGCTGTTCATACATCCAGTGCTGATCGTCGCTCTAAGAAACTTTATTTTTATTTTTCCCAAACCGATATTTTCTGAACCAGTGGCAAATTAAACATAAAAAAGACTTTCAATAAGTATTATTTATAATATATATTGGATATAATATATATTGGATTGGGATGGGAGATATGATAAGGATATTGAACGACGAGTGAATGCAGGAAATAAAGTAAATGGGGCTCTACACTCTATTGTGAAAAGTCAGAATGTGTCAAAAAAGGCACGTATGGCAATTCACAGTGCTGTATTAGTCCCTACTTTAACGTATGGTAGTGAAAGTTGGGTGTGGCAGAAGAAGCACGAGAGTAGAATAAATGCAGTAGAAATGCGGTCGCTAAGGAGTATGTTAGGGCTGAATCTGAGTGACAGGGTGAGAAACTGTGTGATAAAAGAAGAGTGTGGTTTGCAAGATGATGCGGTGACCAGGATTAAGAAAGGAATGCTTCGGTGGTTTGGTCATGTAGAAAGAATGAATGCGGAAAGACTGACAAAGCAAATATATGTTGCAGAAGTGAATGGAAGAGTCGGAAAGGGACGTCCTAGGCGGAAGTTTGTCGACCAAATTGGCGATATACTAAAAATGGGCCAAATTAAGAGTACCCTTAACCGACGAGCATGTACGCGTAGGTATATGGATGTGGAAGAGGCGAGAAAGGTATGTCAGGATCGTGCTAAATGGAAGTCTGTAGTCTCTGCCTACCCCTCTGGGTGACAGGCGTGAGTGTTTATGTTATGTTATATATTGGATCAAAATAGGATTTGACGAAAAATCTATTTCCTTTCTTCGAGCTTATTGGTTGCCGGTTCTTCGAGCTATATGGCTATGTCAATTTATTGATGTATAGAGCTATATCGCTTACTCTGGTTCTAGTGTGTGTACCCTCATTTCGTATTCTATGATCAACCAGAGAAACTGAGAAGTGTTAAGAATATTAATTTATAATTTTTGATATAAGAAGAATTGTTGTTTTAGGAATGCAAGATTTCAACTATTTAGCTACAAACGCCTTTGAAATAACCCTCGAACTAGGCTGCAAGAAGTATCCCCTAGAAAACGAACTGGAGAATGAATGGCACAGGAATCGCGAGGCTCTGCTGGCTTATCTATGGAAAGCACACATCGGCATCAAGGGAATAGTTAGCGATGATACCGGCTTCTTAGAAAACGCCATAATATCCGTAGTTAATATCACCGGACCCAATCCGAAGCCCATTCGACATGATGTTACTACAGGTATGTGCTTTTAATCTGTTTATATTCTATTGAACTTTTTAGTCGACTTCAAAAAACAAGGTTATTCATTCCACTGTATGTTTTTCTATGTAGATCTTCGTCAACCGAATAAGCAACTCAAATGATTATCTCGAAGAATTTTTTAACTCTTAAGACGACATTTTAGTTGTGACCTTGAAATAGGAGGAGGTTCTTGTCCATTTGAAAGGGTCATCTAATTAAAAATATAAATCAACTTCAAAAAAATTAGAAATAGTAAAATCATTTCTGCACAATTTACGAGCTTCTGAAGTCAGTGCTAAGAAATGGTGACTAGGCTTCAGAAGCTATTATATTATGTGGAAGTTATTTTATTCTGTTTGGTCTTTATGAAGAAAATTTTTACCATAATGATTACGTTGGCAGTGATAATAAAGGGACTGAAAATACTACCCCTCTTCAAATTAAAAGTGTGAGATATTTTTTAGCATTTTTATTAGATATTCAGAAGTAAAAAATGTCGATCAGAAGAGGCATTTTTATTATTCAGCAGCGTGCACTAAACGTGTGTTAAGTTAGCATTTAGACCAGTTGGTAAATCCCTTTCTCAACCACAATTTCTATGTCACAAAAATAAAGACATGGTAATATCCTTTTTAATCCGTTTACAAATGAAAACAGTTAACATAAATACATATGTATAACTAAAATACAACTAACTCAGTATGAAGGTAATTTTAACGAAGCCATTGTCTGGTGCCGTACCGGGTAGATTAAATATTGTTTGCATTCTCTTCATTCAATTACAAGCAATAGATTTAACAAAGAGCTTCCTCGTCTAATGAGTCATGTTTCGTTCTCATCGTTTGATATAAAGGAATTATTGTAATGGCATGTGTGCGAGCGTGCTACGTGCGTGCTTGCGTCAGTGCGTGCATGCGTGAGTGCGTCCATGCGTGAGTGCGTGAGTGCGTGCTTGCGTGAGTGCGTGCTTGCGTGAGTGCGAGAGTGCGTGGGTGCTGCGTGTGTGCGCGAGCGTGTGCGTGTGTTTGTGCGTGTGCGTGTGTGTTTGTGCGTGTTTGTGTGTGTACGTGCGTGTTTGTGTGCGTGTGTGTTTGCGTGTGTACGTGCGTGTTTGTGTGCGTGTGTGTGTGTGTTTGTGTTTGTGTGCGTGTTCGTGTGTGCGTGCGTGCGTGCGTGCGTGCGTGCGTGCGTGTGTGCGTGTGTGTGTGTGTGTATGTGTATGTGTATCATTTTTTCACATAACTTTTGAATATATAGTTAAATCGTTTTTTTAAATAAATTTTATTTTTGTTTTTAAAATACCTCATCGATTGCCACTAGTCACATCAAAATCGGTTGATCCGTTCGAAACTCATCGTTGAGAAAAAAAAGTATTTTCTTAAACTGGGGGCACGGCCACGGCACGGCACGGCTTTTTTGCTTGACTTGGCGGCAGTGCCCCCGCCAAGTCAAGCAAAAAAAGCGGCACGGCCGTACTATACTTTTCTCGAAGCAATTCAGGCCATTTTCGACCATCTATAACTTCGTTGTGGATAGAACTAGAGACCTGAATTTTCAAAAACCAAGCAGGCATTGTATAGACACGATATATTTCAAATTTCATTCCATTTGAATCAGTAGTTTAGGAATTATAATTAGTCAAAGTTTCTTAATTTTGACACTGACTGACCGATCATCAAAACTCTAAGGCACTTCTAGCATTTTTGTTTTTGTGTTTTGTGTATAAATCTAGGAAAAACTAAAATATTTTTCAATTTTGGTCCAGTTTTCTAGATACACTAATTGCATAAATAACTTGTAATACCATATAAATATATAGGATTACAAAGATACATTTGCATTGAATGAATCAGTATACCTGTATATTATGTATAATATAATGGAATAAAAGGCACACCAACAACCTAGCTATCACGTTGTTGATAATCAAGAAGTAGAAGTTATCGAAAGGAAAAAAGTAGGACTAGTTTTTGATGTAATGAGTTAACTATTAGTCCGTAAAATATTTTTAGAGCGTTTTTAAGATCGAATATAGCTGGAAGTTCCTAGATGACCTGCAGCGTCAACCTTTTTTCAGATTTTTTTCTATTATAAAAGTGTGTCTGTCAAACAAGTGTGTGGTGTGTGCGTGTTTTTAATGTCTGCAACACAATAGTTTTGGAATTAGTTAGCCGATTCAGCCGATTTAATTATTCAGTGCTTCCGCAGAGGTCATAATTTTATATTCTCTAAATACCTATCAATTTCACCTGCATGCTGGTCATCCCTTTAATTGATGGATGAGACTCAGACGACCAACTAAGGCAAGGAAATCCATACAAAAATCCCGAGACGCAAATCTTACAACTGGTGTGACCTTGCTCTTACCCACCCAACAGCCCAACGTGTTGATTGTTATATATCCTTTCAAGAAATTATAGCCTGGATATTTAAAAAAAAATTTATGTCCAACCATGGATTTAAAAAGGTTGCATATAATGATATTAATAGGAGATGGGCTTTAATTCCGTTCGTAAGATTAAAGTAAATGTGTCATAGAATAGTTGTACATATCTACGGTCGTACCTTTTAATTGCCTATTCGGTTACAGTGACATCATCTTGGCACACAGATCCATTTTATCTTGTTTACGAATTTACTCTCATGCTGCGAAAGGTTACATGAGGTTACGGACTATACGGCAACATAAACATTAATAATAAAAAAACCCATTTACATTCCTTTTTACTATTAAGCTTTATCTTGCTCAAGGGGGTCAGGGGGCTTTATCTTGAAATTTATAGCAATTGAATTTAAGCATGTGACAGGAAAATCGTCGCTATTTTATAGAAGTAACAAGCAAAAACACAGTCCAATTAATGAAAACATAACATAATAGAATACATCTATTCTGATTAAGATGTATATGCATTTTGAATAGTATTTTGCAGTTAATTCCACCATATCATCCTCATCATCTGACCTTCATCATAGCCTACCTTCCATCTCATTGCTTAAGAGTATAGACCTGTGATGGGCCACTATTGCACAGAATAACAGCGTGAAATCGCGTATTATTGCTGTATTTCGTATAGTGAACTACGTGAAATGGTGACCTTTTTTACTTGTAACGAAGTATTATGCCATTTTAGTTCTGAAAGGTGACAAGGCATCTTCGTTGTGGTTTTTAATTAAGCTGCCTATTGTCCATAGCATCTATTTACCATCAGGTGGACTGTGTGCTCGCTTATCATCCTTATTCCCCATAAAAATTCATACTGTCATTATCATTTCATCACTCATCTTATCTAAATTGGTCTATAAATGGGCCGCATGATATTGACCTCTCCTGCGATCGGAAGGATTCACTGTTTACGCCTTGTTTGGCACAGACGTCTCACTTTCGTCGATGTCGACCTTTCGGCCATTTATCTAAGTCGTATTATTACGACACCCGCGGGTTGAGGTACGCGTTAAAGTTCTGTTGTGCCATCACAACACGATAGACGTGAGTGATGAATAGCGTTACGGTGCATAGTAACCGCGAGCTGTCGCCTTAAAAAAAGTCACGGTGACTTTAAAAAGTAAGGGCATGGAATTCAGTCAAGTCACACCTGGCATTGATTCAGTCAAACAAAAGAAGTGACATGTAGATACCGAAACGGTGCACCGGTTGTTTAGGTGAAATTAAAAACTAGAAAGGAACCTATAACATGGGTCGTAGAAATAAAATAAAACTGAATGAATTATGATTTCTTAAATTTACGCGAACACTACACATTGAATTAAACTATTATTTACGGATTTTATCGCGTTTAATTACTATTTTATATTAATTTTTGGTCCGATTTCAAAAAGCGATTATTCAAAAACTGAAGGTAGCCGGACTAACTATGACATTGGGACGTCGTCGCCCCAAACGTCGGGATAATAAAAATAAGTAAAATAGTAATTAAACGCGATAAAATCCGTAAATAATAGTTTTATTCAACTGAATGAATTACCAAATTTTACCAAATTGCGTTACACATAAGACGTTTTAACATTTCAAGTATCCGTCGTTATCAACGTGACAAAGTCACGGTGCTGTGACTTGAGTAACCGCAACAAAACAACGGTCACAGTTATGGTAAAGTAACGATTTTCCCACGTCTACAACATGAGAACAACAGTAATTTCTTCTTCATCATCTGCGTGAAACAGACCACTGCTGGTTAGGTGCCTCGCTAGTTTCAGGGAGGAATTGTCTAAATCTTAGTGTCGATGGCAGTACGATTGACGCCCCAAACTTTTAATGCTGTTGCCCGTCTCTTGTCTGAGCATTCTTCAACGTTTGGTGTAAACAAGATAGTTATTTTTTTATATAATATATTGTATTATAATAATAATATCCTCCAGACCGAATTTCGGCCACGGCGGCCTGCCTCAACGGAGGCTAGCCATCGGCGCAGGACAGGATTATAGTGCCCAAGTGTATGCGCAAGTACAGGTGCACTCTCTATTCCCTCACTCTCGTAATACGATGGGATAGTAAACCGACACGACCGGAGAGAGATCAGGCGCAGGACCAACGGCTTTACGTGCTTTCCGAGGCACGGGGGTGAGACACCGCCAACTTCCTGACTCCGGGCAGCTACTGAGAATTTCTTGACAGAAAAACTCAATAATTAATTTTTTGGCCCGACCCGGGATTCGAACCCAGGACCTCATGATCAGCAGTCGCACTACTACAACCACTAGACCAACGAGGCAGTCAAATTTTGATTTTATATATATACTATATATTATATAGTACGTGAGGGCAGCAAAAACTACAACCTTGTTTGCATGGATGGTTCTGTGATACGATAGCTGTTCGTCATTCAATCAAATAATAAAGGACGTTGCTTTATCGATTCCACTTTGACAGTTGACAGTATGTTAAATATTTTAGTCGATTTTAGTATTGTGTAGTGTAGTAAGATTTTTTTTGTGTTTTTTCGAAGTGTTCCTAATTATTGCCAAAGCTTGTATGCTATTATTTTTTTAATATATTAGTTATAGTGTACGACTTTTTGCCCTTGTGTTTGTGTTTATCTTTATCCTCCTCCTAGTTTGGGTTTTATCGGGCAGCAAAGCTTAAAGTGACCATATTACCCACACGTACCTTATTAATAGTTACACCGCCATATAGCGGAAGTCATAATATTTTTCTCGTGTTTTTCATAGTCGCCTCTTATCACATGGGATGCAATGGGGTTAATGGATTTTTTGCGCCATCAGCACACGGCAACTCTTATGTGTTCATCGTATACGCATAAATAAAATTGAAATATCTCTTTATAATATTGAAATAACTGACTTCTATTTAGCTCAGAGGATTATTTGTATGATTATTAAGACATAAACGATCACTTTTAAAATTTTTGTCTGTGTGTCTGTTTCTTAGTCCGGGCTAACCTGCGGTAGCGCTGAACCGATTGTGTTGAAACTTTACGAACAGATAGGGAGTAATGTCAGAAGCGATCTAGACTAAATTTCATCCAAAAAACTGTTCTAAAAAGATTCTCGCAATAGAACACCGATTCCGATCAAGGATCGTACGCGAGGCTTTTGAAATTAAAAGAAAAAAACATCCTAATTTCAATAGAGAAGATGGATGAGTGTTGCCATCTGCTTGGGATCCTATAATTAACAAAATTAAACCCAAACCCAAGCATACCACTGCAAGTATTCAAGATACTGTAAACTCGTTCTGCGTAGATCGGACCAAAAATTTATGTTTGAAAACTGAGGTAGCGGGGCTAACTATGACATTGGGACTTCAAACATCTCAGTCCCCCCCCCCCCGTGACCATGGGTGCTGTAAAGCACCCGAAACGTCGGGAATTAAAAATAAGTTAATTAAACCCGGGGCATGCCATAATCAGTTATTAGGTTTTTCTGAAAAGAAATGCTCAGTAGTAGACCAAAGTCAGGAAGTTGGCGGTGTTTTACCACTGTGTCTCAGAAAGCACGTAAAGCCGTTGGACCTACGCCCCCTTCTCTCTCCGGTTGTGTCGTGTTGGCTTGCCGTGCTATATGACTTTGAGTGTGAGTGAGAGAATGTAAACTCGTTCTGCGTAGATCGGACCAAAAATTAATATTTGAATACTGAAGGTAGCAGAGTTAACTATGACATTAGAACGTCAAACATCTCAGTCCCCCCCCGCCCCGTGACCATGTGTGCTGTAAAACACCCGAAACGTCGGGAATTAAAAATAAGTTAATTAAACGCGATAAAATCTAGACTAGATAGAGACTAGTTGCTCTAGTGAGTAATAAAGTGTGACGTGTCCAGGAACATACGGGGATTACTACCGGCTGCTAACGCCCGGGCGGTACGAGGTGACGGCGAGCCACGTGGGCCACTACCCGGCGCAGCGCATCGTCACCGTGCCGCAGCGACAGTCCTCCGCTCGGATACTCAACTTTAGACTTGAGGTATTTACTCCTTTTGTTCTATTTTAACTTCAACATGCATGAAGATCTTTCTACGTGCACGCGAATGTTCTACAACAGCACCGATGTAGGTACTATGATATCTGCAGTCTGCGAACATATTCAGGTATGCCGTCATACATCAGAACCAAGTTTTGTTCATGTGGTTATTAAAATGAAAAATAAACGCCTTAATTTCAATAGAGAAAGAGGCTGGATGGCTAATCTAAACCTAAACGTGGTATGTTCACAAGACTTCCAAATGGTCGTAGTATTTCAAAGTCATTTAATTTGTTTGAAACTCATATCAACGTCAAAATCTACACCGTTTATATTAAAAAATTAATATGTTTCTATCACATATTCATTTTTGAATGTCAAATTAGCTCAATTGAAAAAGGTTTCAGAACAGAGAATTTTATGTACCTACGTATTTAAAACGCAGCAACTAGAAACGAATTTTATTTTATTTCTCACGAACAAAAACAAGACCTTCTCTAAGAATAACCAGGAAAAAACTCTGAAATCCATTTTACCTGACTGCCAGGGGAGGGTTATTTTAAAGCAAGGTGGATTAAATATGCTGGGTTAGTAGTCTTGTATTTATCACAGCTTTGGATATTATACGTCTAGCCATTGTTGCGAAAGATATTCTGCCTTCTATCGATTGGTAGAAGAGTTTGATTTCATTACTTATATTCAACTTTTAGTAGGTACAGTCTCACTATAGAATAAGATGATATATTCTCTGTCGCCGCGGTGGGATGATAGTTTATTATGAACTATTATATTTTGCTGTGTGTCTAAAGGGATTTATCAATTTATTTATTGCAGCGAAGTATAACACCTATTGTTGTCCTACAATCGAGTATTTTTCTGTTTTAATTTTGCGTTGTATGAACATACAATTATTAACATCTAGCGACCCGCTCCGGCTTCGCACGGATGGTTTTTAGATCTCGACCACAGCGGCACCTACCGGGTTTAAATGTGAATCTCAACCATCTAGGGACTCGTTCAAACACACACAATAAATTTGATAAAAATAGGTTGAGTCGTTTTTAAGTTTTAGCGAGACTAACGCATAGAATACTATAATACATACATAATAGAACGGGGGAGTGGGCGGAGCCCGCGTAGCCACTAAAATGTCACTAATACGTCAATTCACACGTATAAATGTCAACACGAGATGTGTTTTGACGTTACAATCGTTTCCAAATTTCGCATGCAAATTATTTCGAAAATGCCAAATTGCATTAAATGGAAATTGCTTTTCAACAAAGCAGATCAAAAAGGTCCTACATGCCCTACGTCAAAAAGTGTTCAACGTAGCACTCCCACGCGCAATTTATTTTTCAAATACCTTTTATAAGTTTCTTTTTTAAAATCCATTTAAATTTATTTTAACACAGAAGCTTAATGAAGGCTATAAATGTAATATGATTGTAGTATCACAGTCTTGTACACCACATTCAGTTTTACGTCAGAGGACTTAAACTCTGACGTCAGAGAGTTTAACGAAGCACTCCCACGCGCAATTTCGCAAGAAGCGTGGGTGTTAGGTTTAAATTGTTGATGATACTTATTACTTCGCCAACTTTTGAATTTTTTAAATTATTATTTTTTGAAACAATGAGGGCGTGGGCGACCTTTTCTACCAACATGTACAAAACTACTTTAAAATTGTAAATTTAAATAAAAATACGTACTTATTCTGTGTTATAAGAATCCTTTTCGCTACTAGTTTAAACTCGTAAGTTGCATTAATAACTCGGTTTCACTTTCATTTCTGTTATATTTAGCAAATCAAGGACGGAAAAAGAGAGAAGGGAGTTTAAAAACTTATAATTTGCGGTATCTATCCCACCCGAACCGAGTACATTCAATTTATCTTAGTAGATGTAGTCACTCGGGTGGTGTACTCGTCTCATTAATATGGCTGCCGACAGCGCTTTGTGAAATCAGCACGCTGTGTCAATGTGTCACAGTAGAGCTAAAGCAATAATATTTATTGCAACCGTGTAAGGGGTTTTCTCTCGCTACTGTAGTAAATGTTGAAACGACAATAGCCTAGTGGTAGGGCGCGGACCGCGAACTCAAAAAGGTCGTGGGTTCGAATCCGCCATTCGACTACTGGCGTGAACCACTCGTAACACAAGCAATTTAAGCTTATCACCAGTGGTAAAGGGGAATATTAGTAATGTTTATAGCATTGTTAATATTTGAATGTATATGCTCCATTAAACGTTCCGCAAAATTACCAATTTTTATAAATTATGAAAGGTTTAGAAGTATTAAATCATATTGTCTGTCTTGTTGAAAATATGCCACAGGCCTAATTATGGTGACGCTAATTCATAGTATTAGTAAAACGCTAAAATAGAAACCTCAGTTCGTCAAGATATATTTGTAATGATCAATTAGCAGAGTAAACTCCACATTTATTAATAAAATATATTTTTACGATATGATATGCACCGGACATGCATTCGTTTATTATTAAATCGAATGCGGTCACAAGTTTGCTAGCGTATATTATATTATTGTTTATATGGCGTCATAATAGTACACAGTCATAGAACATTTAATTCACTTTTTTTTTAAACGCGTAATTGTATACGTTTTTCGTTACATCCCTTCACAAGTTTACTAAACAAAGGCCGCTCCCAAAACGCTAGAAAGCACGGTCCTGAGCCATCTGCATCCATCGACTTTCTGCACGTCTTACCAGATTGTCGTTCTGGAGTGGGTGGCCACCGTACACTTCGCCTACCGGTTCGAGGCTGCCACTCGAGACCCTTTATTCCCCATCGGTTGTCGGTTCTCTGAGCTATATCGCTGGCCCATTGCCGCTTCAGGTTATTTGCTATTATTAACAAGTATTTCATTATAAAGAAACAAATAATCGGCGACCTGTCTGGTATGGTGACTAGTCATCTGTACACGACAGGTGGTCAAGCACAGGTGCATTCTCTATTCTCTGATTCTCATAGACCGATGAGTGCTTTTCGAGGCACAAAATGTTGCAGGGTGAAACACCGGTAACATTTTGTGTGTATGCTGCAGCTGTGAACTTATAGACTGAAAAGAGATATGTGTAGGCGACATGTTTGTAGCCAAACGGTAGTCTCGGATGCACCGGGTGCACGGCAGCTCAAACATTTATGCCTTCCACCTCAGAGAATTTATAAGCATTTATATTTAAATACTTTAAATGTACATAAAATTATCTTGTTTACATTGCCTTACAGGGTTGGCCACAGGAAAATAAAATAGAATATGATTTTAATTTATTAATGAATAATTGGTCATTCAGCAATAATTTAAATTTGACATTTAATTGTAACAATTTTAATAGAACTAATTTAATAGACATTAGTAATTTTATTAAGAAATTTTTGACTACAGATAGGTATTACCTATCCAAATATAATTTACAGACAGCGAATGTGCTATATTATTATTTATATATTAACTCAGCCAAGGACTTGGCTACCCAGACATCTGCTCCTATTGAGCAGCATAATGATGTGACATGCAATTTGGTATCAGTTACAAGTAATTTGTATTAGAAATTGAGACAATAGAGGTAATCTCTAGCAGTTATAATAATTTAAATAATTTAGAATTTAGTTTACAAATCCTTAATAATTGTAGGTATGACTCCACAAAATGAGGATAAAATTGTTTACACCTAGTGCATCAAAATATACAAGGCATGATAGGCAAAGAGGTAGAAATTGAATTGTTATTAAATAGCAACAACATATTTTATGTATTACTGTAGATCATGGTTTAAATCATATGGTCTTTTTAATTTCTTTTTGGAGCCAACGCGTATTGCTGAATCTAGTGCAACATGTATAGATAAGATTTTTTACAAATGTAAAGCCGTTTCATAAAAATTCAAAAATTGAGTCTGTTTACTGTGGACAATTAGTTTCGCTACCTTATGTTCACAAAAAGCAAGTAGATGAAAAATTTGTGCGTGTGCTCCATAGCCAAGTCTTTGTATTTGAGCAACAAAATAAAGACGTTGAAATAATACTAGTTTTTTTCGGAATTTATCGCGTATATTTAACTTTTTAATTACCCGACGTTTCGAACGCTTTACAGCACTCATGGTCACGGGCAGGACTGAGATGTTCAACGTCCATATGTCATAGTTAACTGCGGTTACCATAGATTAAAATTTAACTTTTGTTCCGATCTATGCAGTATGAACTTATGGTATCTTGAAGTCTTGCAGTTGTATGCTTGGGTTGGGATTTAATTTTATTTATTATAGGATCCCAAGCAGATGGTAGCACCCAGCCATCTTCTCTATTGAAATTAGGATGTTTTATGATTTCAATAGCCTCGCGAATCATCCTTGGAAGGAATCGGTGTTCTTTAGCGAGGATCTGCGGTCTATCAAATCTGATGTAGTGACGGGGGCGATCCTGTACGTGTTCACAGACTGCAGACTTCCCGGAGCGTCGATTCTTCACATCAGCTATATGTTCTTTAACGCGGGTTTTATTGATCTTTTAGTTTGTCCTATGTAGGAGAGACCACATTCACAATCAAGCTTGTACACTCCTGCATCTTGCAGAAGGACATTACACTTGACCGGTGGTAAAAACTGACCAATCTTCTTCAGCGGCTTGAAGTATGTTTTGATGGAAGCGCGCTTCAAGATGTAGCCAATCTTGTCAGTGACTCCTCTAACATATGGCAGTACAGCAGGTACACGCTCGACTGTGGCCGGCTTCACTCGTTCACTGTGACGTAGGCGCGGGACTCGAAGCTTGTTGTCATGAAAACTTGCTTGACATGGTGGAGCTCTGCAGCCAGGTGTTTACTGTCACAGATCCCTCGTGCTCTCTGAAACAAAGATTTACCCACGGTAGCTAACTGTGAAGGATGGTGGTGAGAATCACCGTTTAAATATCTATCTGTATGGGTCTTTTTTTCTATACACAGTATGGCTCAAGGTGTTATCAGGATTCCGAATTACTAACACATCTAGAAAAGTAAGGAATTGTTTGCCTCTAACTCTTAACTTGTAAAATGCGTGTACAAGAATTTTACATTTCAAAAAGTAATATAAAAATATATTGTAAAATATTTTAAAACTATTGATATTAAGAAAACCGCAGATCTATGGGGGATTTCCGTTAAAGTTATTGCGTCTATAATAGATATAATGGCACCTCAACTATCTATTATTTTTAATACTAGCATCGAATCTGGTGTGTTTCATGGTTTAATAAAGCATGGTAAAGTCATATCTTAATTAAAATCTGGTAGTACATTAGTCCCCGCCAATTTCGGACTTATTTCTGTACTGCTCTTAGTAAAATTTTTGAAAAAATAATTATTGACTTGACTTTATATAAAAAGTTTTTGATCTTGTTTCGGTTTCAAAACATTTTAGTTTAATTACACATTTTATGAATTTACCTATTTATTACTTACTGTGTCTAATATAGACTGTTACTGTTCTGAAATTATTACATTATAATTCTGAGATATCTGTGAGCTATAAATAAAAGTTCGGGAAGTTTTTCATTAGGTGTAATTTATTGAACCACCAATTAATTGTTGGTACAGTACAACTTAATTACGTTGATATTAAAAAAATAATATGTAAATAAAAAAATTATACAATCGCGCTTCGCAAGTATGATTACATCTCTGAATTTCGCTCAGCTCAAATGGTTCCCGATTCGCCCTCGCGGGAATAATGACAATCTCTCTGCATTGTATCTTGTATCTTAAAAGACCGTTTCCAGTATTTTTTCTTACTCATAATCGGATCCTTCGATCCTCTGTCGATCTTGTGTCAATATTTCTCTCTCTACTCCTTTGCACTATTTCTCTTGTTTTAAAGAAATCCTTTACTGTCGCTGCTGTGCGTTTGTGGAACTATTTACCTCTCCTAATCCGTGTTGTTAAATATCTTCTTTGTTTCAAAAGACTAATAAAACGTATTACTTAGACTGCTATCAGATAAATTACTTTACCTTTTCGTACTTTTCATTTATAATACTTTATCATATTGGAAATCATTTCTGCACATCTATATTTATATGGATTTACATTTTTTTGTACACCTCTATTTAAACCGGAACTTTTAACTATTTTAAAGCAGAAGTTGTCCGGAAAAGATCACTTTCACAGTTCAAGACAGCTTGTTGTACATATACGAGTACTTTAACTCATTAGCTCTCGAGGCCACGCGTAATATGACACTCCCGTTCGCTTGCGACCGTAATGGCGGGAAAATTTGCAAATTAGCAAATTTTTTTGCTATATTGCAAATTTTGCTATATTTTCACTTTGAGACAATATTTATGGATAAAACTTACAGGAATTCTTGTTGAATGTATAAACTATTGAATAAAATTATTTTGGTTGTTAGAAATTATAATAAAATTCATAAATTACCCTTTATAGCATAAGTAGTAGTATATACTTCACTTTTAGTGCCAAAATTACTACTAATTTGAATTCTACACTTTTGTTTTTGGAGAAATTTATATGAAAATGTTTGGAAACATGTATATTTTTATGTTTTATGTGTTTCCATTCGTTACTCATACCAAAATATTAAAATATTATAAAAATTAAAAAAAAAAATAAAATAATATTTTATCTGTATGACATTTCGAACAATATTTCTAAAATATGTTTGTGTGAATTTGAAATAAATACAACGTCATGTTATTTGAAATATATACGAAAACTATTTTTACTTACATTTTACACTAAAAATAAATGAGAATTTGAAAAATAACACATTTATAACTCACCTGCCAAAACGGGCTTTCCGGAATTTGAAGTACTTTTGGCAATTTACTTTTCACTTTTTATACCACAAATTACATATCTACGTGTTTACTATATTACAAGGAATATAAAAAAGTATAATACTTTCGTTTTTAGTCCAGACACAAATATAAAATTCTATAAAAAAGACGGAGCACCTACAACAAAGTGACACGTGGAACGCCGGAAGTTCAGAGTGATTTCTTTTTTTTTTTTTTCTAAGAAACATTGCCAGGTTATGGTTTAAAATAAAAGAGCATATCTTTTTCTTTGATACTATTATCTATTGCATAGTGTCTTTGGTTTTGTTTTAATTAAAAAAATTCTTTTTCAAAGGGTAGTACTTGTCGCCCACATGTGCACCTTGATCGAGCGAGCGTAAGGTGTTTATTTCTTGAGCACATGTGGGCGTCGCGAGAGCTAACGGGATTAAACTAAATTTAAAACACTCTAAAATATGATTAAAACTACTTTTACGGATTTTATCGCGTTTATTTTTACTTTTTATTTTTATTTTTAATTCCCGACGTTTCGGGCGCTTTCCAGCACCCATGGTCACGGGGGACTGAGATGACTGACGTCCCGATGTCATTGTTAAACCTGGAGTACCTTCAGCTTTTTTAATTATTGTTTATGGTCCGATCTATGCAAAATGAACTGACTATGTCCTGAGGTCTTGCAGTGGTATGCTTGGGTTTAGTTTTAATTTTATTGATTATAGGATCCCAAGCAGGTGGTAGTACCCAGCCTCCTTCTCTATTGAAATTAGGATGTTTTTTGATTTCAATAGCCTCACGTATCATCCTTGGTAGGAATCGGTGTTCTTTCGCGAGGATTTGTGGTCTATCAAATCTGATGTAATGGTTGGGGCCGTCTAGGATATGATCACAAACTGCAGACTTCCCGGAACGTTGATGCTTCACATCAGCTATATGTTCTTTTACGCGGGTCCTAATTGATCTTTTGGTTTGTCCTATATAAGAGAGACCACATTCACAATCAAGCTTGTACACTCCTGCATCTTGTAGAGGAATATGACACTTGACGGATGGTAGGAACTGACTAATCTTCTTCGGCGGCTTGTAGAATGTTCTAATAGAAGCTCGCTTCAAGATATAGCCAATCTTGTCTGTGACACCTCTGACATATGGTAGTACAGCAGGCACACGCTCGACTGTGGCCGGCTTCACTCGGTCACTGTGACGTAGGCGCGGGACCCGAAGCTTGTTGTCGTGCAGAACTTGCTTGACTTGAAGCTCGGCGGCCAGGTGTTTGCTGTCACAGATCCCTCGTGCTCTCTGTAACAAAGATTTGCCCACGGTAGCTAACTGTGAAGGATGGTGGTGAGATTCACCGTTTAAATATCGGTTTGTATGGGTCTTTTTCCTATACACAGTGTGACCAATGGTGTTATTAGGATTTCGGATGACTAACACATCTAGGAAAGGTAAGGAATTATTTGCCTCTAACTCCATAGTAAATTGAATTTTAGCGTTTATGGAATTAAGATGTTCTAAAAATGCAGTTACTTTGTCTGATGGTAAAATTGTGAAAGTATCGTCTGCGTACCGCTTGTAGATCCTGGGTGTAACAGGTGCAGTAAGGAGGGCTTTCTCCTCAAAATCTTCCATGAATATATCGGCGACAATGGGAGATACAGGTGAGCCCATCGCCACACCATCTACTTACTTGTAAAACTCTTCCTTCCACAATAGATAGCCAGATGTAAGGCAATGTCTTAGTAATACTGCATATTCTGCTGGCATGTTATTTTCCTCTAGTTTCCTAGTTATAATTGAGATGCAGTCTTCAACAGGTAGGCATGTAAATAGAGACTGAACATCAAAACTGACCATGGTTTCATTGTCAGTAAGATGTAGGTCTTTTATCTCACTGACAAAATGGTATGAATCCTTAGTGTGCGTTCTTGTTTGTCCTCTGAGTGGTGATAATATTTTAGCTAAGTATTGAGCCAATCTGTAAGTTGGCGAATCAATCTGACTCACTATTGGACGTAATGGAGCATTCGGTTTGTGTATCTTTGGTAACCCATACAACTTCGGTGGTTTGGCACAGGAAGGTATTATCGAATTAACGTCCAGATTCAATTTTTCGGAGTATTTATTAATTAGATCGCTAGTTGTTTTAAGCGTATTAGTTGTAGGGTCTGTTTTGACCTTTCGATAAGTAGTTTCATCCGACAAAAGTTGTTGTATTTTAAAATTGTAATCTGACGTATCCATTATAACCGTAGAATTACCTTTATCTTTAATCAAGCATCAACGTTCCGGGAAGTCTGCAGTTTGTGATCATATCCTAGACGGCCCCAACCATTACATCAGATTTGATAGACCACAAATCCTCGCGAAAGAACACCGATTCCTACCAAGGATGATACGTGAGGCTATTGAAATTAAAAAACATCCTAATTTCAATAGAGAAGGAGGCTGGGTACTACCACCTGCTTGGGATCCTATAATCAATAAAATTAAAACTAAACCCAAGCATACCACTGCAAGACCTCAGGACATAGTCAGTTCATTTTGCATAGATCGGACCATAAACAATAATTAAAAAAGCTGAAGGTACTCCAGGTTTAACAATGACATCGGGACGTCAGTCATCTCAGTCCCCCGTGACCATGGGTGCTGGAAAGCGCCCGAAACGTCGGGAATTAAAAATAAAAATAAAAAGTAAAAATAAACGCGATAAAATCCGTAAAAGTAGTTTTAATCATGTGCAATGTTCGCGTAAATATAAGAAATCACTCTAAAATACTTTAAATTAAACTAAATTAAATTACTAAATAAATAAACCTTTGTCTTTTTGTTTTCAGCCAATACGGTACGGTGATGGAGCTCTCTTTTTTGACCCGCCTTTCGTCCGCTACCCACACTTCATCGGCGACCAGCCTCGTATCTACAAGCGGTCCCTCTACGAAAAAGTCACCAACTCCATACTAGAATCGAAGGAAACCTCTAAAGAATAAATTGAGCAACCTGGCACACGATTTTAGTCTTTAAATGTATTCATATAAGTAATTAAATCATGATAGCGTTATAATTTCTTATCATATACATATTTTAAATATTATATAAATGATACTTTAGTAAAAAGTTACTTGTTTTGTTGTCGAAACAGGATGTGAACTTAATTGCAGTGCTGATAGTGAATGTAGTTAATATAAAATAATGTAATATTATTGGGTATCGTAAGTCGTAACGTATTTCCCCTGACATTTCGCGGGTGTTCTTTTTTTTCGTGTAATAATCAATGTCCGGATAAAGCCTGCTTCCAAGTACGTTTTTTTATTGTCATTTCACTTATTAATACCCAACAGTATAAATCAGGCTGTAAATCATGTATGTACCTATTCCTTCAATATTAATTGTATAGTTATTTAAATTATACACATTTGAGTGCCATAATATGATGTAATAAAATTCACTTGCTTCTTTGTTTCCACTTTTTGTTAAATGATTTAAAAAATATGTTGATGTGTACAAAAAAATAAAAATAAATGAAGTTATCTAGTCCAATGTCACAATACCTTTTAATTTCATTTTATCGTAAAACGATTGACATTCGACATTAAAATATGATTTAAATAACATTTCACGATTACATTAAATGTGATAAATTTTAAGATCAGCATTATAACAGCTGTATACGTAAGAGCTACCGCACACTGCAAGTTATACAGGTCTTGAAAGGGTTATAGGGGGTGTACCGGTCTAAAACGCAATAAACTTTAATTAGCTAGTACTAAAATTTAGTTGCCAACCCTCTTGCCAAGCGTGGCAACTATGGCAAATATGCACCTATGGTGCTATCTATGGGGGAGGCCTATGTTCAGTAATGGACTTTAATATGCTGTAACGGTAACGGTAACTGTAATAATGCTCTCTAGACCAATTTTCGATTTAGTTAGTAGTAGTAATACAAATCTAGAAATAGTGGGGGGAAAGACCAAGTATTCGTCACTTTGATTTGTCCTGTATAATTTAATAAATATTTATTGAAAAGGACGAAGAGCAAGTCGACTGTATTTACCATAGAATACTATAATACACAATAGAATGGCTGTCAACCTTATTTTGTAGGATGGTCGGCGTCGCCGGGAGCACACATATAAGCAATTACGTCGTATTATCACTACTACAAACCCGATTCGCTGTGTTGACAGACTGAGTAAATTTAAACATTTTAGACTTTTGATTAATGCTCAAGATCATTATTAAAAAATCGTTTAAATTTTAATACATATTTATTTGTAAATAGTGTGCAATTTGTCATTTTCTAAATAATTTGCATGCGAAATTTGGAAACGTCAAAACAAATCTCGTGTTGACAGTTATACGTGTGAATCGACATGTTAGTGACATTTTAGTGGCTACACGGGCTCCGCCCACTCCCCCATTATTATGTATGTATTATAGTATTCTATGGTATTTACTAACTGAGAGAGCTAACTAACTGCGGGCTGTATTTAATGACTGAACTGAACCCTCAACTATTATTGTATGCTACGTCGGCATTTTTAAAGAAAAGATGGAGCAACTAATAACAATTTATTTTACTATTTACAATATTGAGGCGCAATTACTTGAAAATCTTACGTGGTAGAGCCGTACTGCAGCTATATTAGTAGTGTGGTTATAGCACGAAATGGCTCGACCGAGAAAACACCACGATCTCACAAAATACCAGCGTAAATAGCAGCTTACGGCCGCTGTGTTCCGTGTGGTGACTGAAGAGAACCGGAGATCCTTTTTTACTGGAAAGTAGGCATTCCATCTTGGTCCTCACGGTTGAATCGTAATCGAGGATAGATGTAGATGTCTATGGGCCACAGCAACCACTTACCATCAGGTGGACTGTGTGATCATTTGTCACCAAATTTCTTGCTTACCTATTATTCTTATGTGGAGTTCTTCTTATCCACGAATGGTCAGCCAGCGCCTTATATTCCCGCGGTGTGGGTTGCGCTGTCGATGGTCTCCCATGCCTAGCTACATATTTGTCTGTGCGCAAAGTACTCTATGCATGCGGAATTAAGGACGCGTTTACAAAATTGATAGGTATAGAATCGCACTACTACATTGACAAAAGTCACACACACACTAGTGTACGCACGGTTGGCTGTGGGAATCGTAGTCAAATGAAATTATTTTGATAATTTGAAAGATTGAATTTGTTTTTCATTTCTTATACCTACCTCAGAAATATACTTCGATACGAAATATGAATACCTGCTCCAAAGACTGCTTGGCACTGGAAGCCCTCTACTGGTAGTGAGATGTTAGCTCTGGACTTTGAACTGGTTTTGTCAGTTATAATAAGACCTTACGTACCTGCTGACTTTATGGAGTGACCTGAAGGTGTAATTTGGTGATTACAACAATAGGAACTCCTAGACTAGTGGAACTAGGTGTGCCGAGTTTGGGTTCGTTTTGTTGGTTATGATGAGACCTTACCACCGGACTTGATGGAGTGACCTGAAGGTGTAATTCGGTGATTACAAGTGGAACTCCTAGACTAGTAGAACTAGGTGTGCCGAGTTTGGGTTCGTTTTGTTAGTTGTGATGAGACCTTACCACCAGACTTGATGGAGTGTCCTGAAGGGGTAATTCAGTAACTATTGCTGGAATTTCTGAACGAGTAGAACTAGGTGTGCCGAATTTGGGCTCCGTTTTGTTAGTTATGACGAGTCCATACCTCCGGACTTGATGGAGTGACCTGAAGGTGTAAATCGGTGATTGCAACTGGAACTCCTAGACTGGTGGAACTAGGTGTGCCGAGTTTGGGTTCGTTTTGTAGGTTATGATGAGACCTTACCACCGGACATGATGGAGTGACCTGAAGGTATAGTTCGGTGATTACAAGTGGAACTTCTAGACTTGTAGCACTAGGTGTGCCGAGTTTGGGTTCGTTTTGTTAGTTATGATGAGACCTTACCACCAGACTTGATGGAGTGACCTGAAGGGGTAATTCAGTAACTACTGCTGGAATTTCTGAACCAGTAGAACTAGGTGTGCCGAATTTCACTCCATCAAGTCCGGTGGTAAGGTCTTATCGTAACTAACAAAACGAAACCAAACTCGTCACACCTAGTTCTACTAGTCTAGGAGTTCCATTTGTAACCACCTGATTACACCTTCAGGTCACTCAATCAAGTCCGGTGGTAAGGTCTCATCGTAACTAACAAAACGAACCCAAACTCGGCACACCTAGTTCTACAAGTCTAGGAGTTCCACTTGTAATCACTGAACTACACCTTCAGGTCACTCCATCAAGTCCGGAGGTATGGACTCGTCATAACTAACAAAACGAAGCCCAAATTCGGCACACCTAGTTCTACTCGTTCAGAAATTCCAGCAGTAGTTACTGAATTACCCCTTCAGGTCACTCTATCAAGTCCGGTGGTAAGGTCTCATCGTAACTAACAAAACGAACCCAAACTCGGCACACCTAGTTCTACCAGTCTAGGAGTTCCAGTTGCAATCACCGATTTAGACCTTCAGGTCACTCCATCAAGTCCAGAGGTATAGACTCGTCATAACTAACAAAACGGAGCCCAAATTCGTCACCCCTAGTTTTACTCTGCAAGAAGTTCAAATAGCGGTCACGAAAGTACACCTTCAGGTCATGCCATCAAGTCCAGAGGTAAGGTCTCATCATAACCAACAAAACGAGCCCAAACTCGGCACACCTAGTTCCGCTCGTCCACGAGTTGCAGTAGTAGGTAAGTTTATATATCCTACTTATTTTTAGCTAAATAAAAACTGTGAGTATAAAAATAATAATTTTATCACTTGTCAAGTACTTATGTTTCCAATTTGTTTTTTTCTAATATTTTGTGTATGTACAGCGATCTTTTCAGAATGAGCCGCTGCAAACAGGCGATACAGTGTCCACTCACGACGGCGGCCGAGCGCGGACTTTGGTTTCATCGAAATCTTTGTACAATAAATCAAAGCAGGCACCAACAATAAAATAGCCCTTATTGCAATACATTATGATTCATCCGTATTACCAAAATATGTGAAAAAATGTGCATCAGTTTTTATTTTTTTTTACGACTATTTGTGACATTTTGTTAAAAAATAAACCCAGGGTTTTTTTAATTGAATATGTCTGTCATCTTATAGTATTTTTTAAATTTTTTTAAATATGTTGATAATAGACCAAAACATGTACCGAAACACAAGCCGGTATCGTTAATTTTGTAGAAAATGGCAACGAAAGTTCGTTTTTACAATATAAAAAACTACTATTTTCAACAAAAGAGTTACAGACATTTGCAGATGAAGAACCAATCTATACATGGTAGTTTTTACTTATATTTGATTTGGTTTAGTTTTGTCACAAAATCTACCGAAAAACACCCTAATTTTGGTTGATTTGCAAACGCGTCCTTAAAGCGCGCTGCTTATTCATGCACGTGGTACATCGATCACAAAGTTTTTTATAAGTGATCGATGATGTACGATAATTCAGGTATTAGGGTAAGTCAGTCACATTCAGTGGTGGCGGGGCCACATGAGATAAAAAGTCCTTACTGCTAACTGTGGAGGATCGGCGACTCTTCTCGCCGTCCGTAACGATTATAATTAGGTGACTTGTATTAAAACATGTGTTTTACATAAAATTCGTCATCATCTTTCCTGTTGTAAAGCCGGTAAATGGCAAATAACCACGAAGACTCGGCAGTTTTTACCGATAGGAATTGCCGAAGGTATGATACAAAGTGTATATATATTAGCCAAAAACGATAGTCTTAGGAAAGAAAAAGCGACAATTTCTTAATGATATTTGCGCGTTAAATTTATACAAATAAATAAAATTGAAATGTCTGTAATGTTACAATAACACATTTTTACTAAATGTATACGAAAAAATATGCGGTATAAAATTTTGTCTCTGTCTGTCTGTCTATGTATCTGTTCATTCCGGCTAATCTTCGACACGGCAGGACCGATTGTGACG